GAAACAAATGCTTTGTGACTACGGTTTTGTACAAGCGAACTTAATCATTTTCTGTGATAATCAAGGTGCCATATACATCTCGAAAAATCCAGTTGAACACTCATGCACTAAGCACATAGATATCCGTCATCATTTCATTTGTGACTTAGTTGAAGATGATATTCTTGCACTTGAATACATACCCACTGATAAACAACTAGCTCATGTCTTTACCAAGGTCCTTGATGGTAATAGATTTGAACAACTTCGGAAATCAACTGGTGTATGTTTTATTGAGAATTAATTCCTTTTACTTAGAGTTTTCTTTTTGCATAATCATAGTGTGCTTGCATGTAGAATAGGAATGTGTGTTTTGCATTATCGGTTTTTTTTAAGTTTTAATATAGAAGAGGAATGTGTGTTCTGCATAATCATAATTTGCTTGCATGTAGAATAGGTTTACTTGTACCATTCCATCCCTAATCTAATCTGGTGAAATTTTCTTCAACTGAGATTGGTTTCCAATTTTAAATAAATGTTTTAACTTAGTTAATATTGTGAGACCCATTCACTCTTGCTCATTTCCATTATAATAAAACATGAAAAACGTGCAGATTTGGGACACAATGGAAAATGCTACCTTTGTATGGGTGTGAAAGCTCCATAAAGAAGATGCTTGTGGAAAATATGACAGTCGTCTAAACCATATGGGAAGGGCTACCCCTCACACTAAAGTGAAAACTACCATTAAAAGATTTGATGCATTGTGTGGGTTGGTCCTTTCTCATTTTTGAGGGAGTTGATGGATGCTTGCATCTTGTAGACCTTCAACGGTACGGCTCCTCTCGCCCCTTTCTAGTTAATCGTCAATATTCATCCAATTAATTTTGTACAAATAATCTATACATTTCTATAGCTTGATGTGGAGTCTCAAATATTTTGAGTGCCACCATTACACAATAAAACCTTAAGAGTTTATGTAAGTCATGTTCACATTTATTTCTCATTCTCTAGCTAGAAAGGCTCTGCTTGAAACTCACTTTTTGAGGATCATGGGGTAGGATCTGCATTTCATATTGTGTGATTGATAACTCATATCAGGTTTGACTCTTGTTTTTGGAATTATGATCAACACTTCTTACACTGGTTGAATTCCCTAGTATGTACTAAAACCAAGTTTCTTCCCCTAATTGTATTATATTGGCTCCTTCGGCTCATTAGTGTTTTTTCTTGCACTTGCTTTTAGAAATGTGTGTACTTCTAACACATTATGTGTAGTGCTTAATTTCGTTGGCCCCCATCACGTAATTTTCGCTGCCTCTGATCATTTTTATCTCTCATGTTGCACCCCATGGACCTAATACTCCTATTCCTTAGCTTCTTCTTTTCTTTTATACTTGGGCTTTTTCTGGACAAAAAAAAGGGGAGTAGTTTGTTTAGTCGCTTAATGGGAGTAACTAATATTTTGCACTTATATGTGAAACTGATAGATTTAGGGGGAGTCATTTGTTCTATTGCATATTACTCTGATCTAATATTTCTCTTAATTTAAACATGCTGATGTAGTACTACAGTGGCTAATCATAATCACATGACAATATTTTTGGCTTAGTTTATCATGGGTTTTTGTCTAGAAAATGCCAAAGGGGGAGATTGTAAATGTGATTTAATTTGGTTTATTTTCTAGACAAATTTATATTAAATTGCGTATGTAATTGATCTTGTAATTATCATACAAGATCTCATGTCAATTAGTTTTATTCATCCAGCCTTTTGGGATTAGATTGGTCGGTCAAAGATGATGGCAATCACATCAAGTGATTGCTAGAGAAAATAAAGGGATTAAACGTGAAGATTAATCGAGGAAGGACTTTCTAGTCCAAGAAAAGTGTGTAAGGTCACCTATTTAATAGGTCCTTCACACTCAAAGGAGGACATCATTTGCAACACAAAATATCCATATTGCATTTGAGTGAGCAAATGAAGTTGTTCGGCGCAACCCTGCTGTGTGCATCAGACGTTCAAGATTAAGAGTACAAGGCTTGCTAGGTTGTGTACCTGGGTCTCGTATAAATCTTGGAAAGTCTTCATCTTTTCCTTAGTGGATTATTGTTGGCAATCTTGCCCAAGTGGTTTTCCTCTTTGAGGTTTTTCCCCTTATAAAGCTAATTCTTGTGTGTTTGGTATTTTTTCTATTTTGCATTGTCTTTATCAATTCTTTGCATATAACGGGTTTTAAATTGACATTCAATCTTTTAGTTTGAGTTCTTGGTTTTACTTTACATTTTCAAGATTTCTCACTCCATTGAGCCTTTATTTATATTAGTAAAAAAGGAAGAATTCTTGCTTTTCAAGTATTACATTACAACGAGAAAAGTATCTATAAGATATTATTGAGTCTTACTAGAATTTACAATCACACTCTAACTACTTTAGGACCACAACACTACCCCTTGAGTGTACAAATACTCAAACAAAATGCCGGATCAAGTTTTCAATGATGAAGCTAGAATAGTAGATGAAGTCGTCAGCATAATGATTGAATGCGAGTCTCAAAACAAATAAAAGAATGCATAAGGAATACCTTGCTATGGTAAAACTTATGGTATGATTAAAACCCATAATCTAAGGAGAAAAATAAGAACTTGCATTAAGCCAAAACTAAATGCTTTCAGGACTTAAGTAAAACGCACACAAATGGATGACCAGTTCAGAATGAGTGCCTTATTAAAACCTTGATGGGTAGCAAAAACCCAAAGGGAAAAATCCCCTAATCATAGGGAAAAAAGTACATTAAGATCAAGAAAGTATACTTTTGGATACTCCCTTAAATTTGACAAAACTTTCAAATGAGAACTATAAGCAATTCAAATTAGATAATTTACGCATACCAATTCCTTAAACAAGCTTCTAGAAATTAGACTTCGGCAGTGACTTCGTAAAGAGGTCGGCAAGGTTATCTTGGGAATGGATTTTCTTGACTTTAATCTTCTGATGCTCTTGTTGTTGATGTGCAAAAGAAGTTCAGCATAATATGCTTGGTGTTGTCTCCTTTAATATATTATTTCTTGATCTGTCTAATACAAGTGGCGTGAGGCCTTCGCAAATTGTTGCAAGGACGTCAACGACAGAAAAAAGTCCACAAGTGCTTCAAATATGCTCCATAATGACTCTCAGCAATAAGCATTCACGCGTAGCTTTATGTAGCGAGAATTTCAACATGGTTCGAAGAATTCATAACTAAGGTCTACTTGGTTAACCTCTAAGATATTGCGGTGTCTCCAATGGTAAAACATAGCTTGTTTGACAACGTGCCTTGTGCATGTTAGATAAATAATTTGCATCTACATAACCAATAAGGAGAGAATTAACTTAGGTACGGCGAAGGCGGCGGCTTCACTCGAGGATGCATAAGAATAGAACAAACCCAAACCCGTTGTACATTTTAGGTAACGAAAGATGTCTTTAATAATCAAGGAGATGTCCGGTTTAATGCACTAAGTTAAGTATAATAAACTGCCAATTGCACTTGAGTATGGAACTTTAGGCTCCAAAACCTCTTCCTCATCATCTTTAGGATGGAAAGGATATCATTTTGCATCTAGCGTATGAACAACCATAGGAGTACTCGAAGGTTTCGCTTTATCCTCGCTGAAGCATCTCAACACTTTTTTAGTGTAGTTCGATTGACGAACCAGAATATCATCAAATAATGCTTAAGCTCCAGGTCTAGGTGATATAAAAAAATTTCCCAAGATCTTTCATCTAAAATTTCGCCTTCAGGTGCAAGGCAATTTTATCAAGCTCTTTAGGAGCCCCAATGAGATTTTATGTCATTGACATAAACTGCAAGTATTGAAAATTTGGAATGTGACTTCTTATTAAACATGTATGGGCATACTTCATTATTCACATATCTCTGACTAATCAAACACTCACTCTGACTATTATACCACATCTTCCCATATTGTTTCAACCCATAGAATGAACGCCTCAATCTAATTGAGAGGGTGTTTCGGGGTCTAAAACTATTTGGTCTAGTTAATATGTGAGATCCCACATCACCCGAGGGAGAGGAGGTGATGTGCCTTATATGTACATGCCCACCTCCCTATAATAAGACGTGTTTTTGGTGCAAACCCAAGAACAAATCTGTGAATGCATGGCCCAAAGCGGACAATATCTTACTATGTGGACTGGGATGTGACAGTTTGGTATCAGAGCCACTCCCCGACATGAAGTGTGCCTACGAGGGCATCGGGCCCTTAAAGGGGGTGGATTGTGAGATCCCACATCACCCGGGGGAAAGGATGTGATGTGCCTTATGGTACCGTTTGGTACGCAGACGAGATGGAACGGAACGGAACGGGACGGGACGGGACAGGACAGGACGGAACGGAACAGTGGTTCCATGTTATGTTTGGTATGCGCAGGACAGGACATGAGAGTTGTTCCGTTCTGTGTTTGGTAAGCGCAGGACAGAACGGAACCAAAAGATTAAAATGACTAACTTACCCCTGTCCCGTCTGTTGTTTGGTACAATGTTTAGGCCTGGACGGGACGGGACGGAACAATTTTTTTTCTTCTTGCTGCTACTTATCTATGATATATTTTGTACACTATACTTGGATGTGTTCATATTTTGTACCGTGTATAACAGAAAACAAGAGACATGTATTTGTACTTTATGTTGCTCATATAATTAATTTAGTGGGATAATACGTCAATTAATTTTATGTGATTTAAAAAATAATAGGGTGAGAGCATGCCATTGGCTTGGCACTTGGCACATGGCAGTGTAGCCGCAATATGTATATGGTTATGTATATGTGATGAATCACATATGAAGAGGTTGGTATAGTAGAACAACCGTTGATGCAATGGCTATTTTGGAATCTTTGACACAATCTGCTTTCATCTCTTTGTCATCACATTGAAATGCAAATTGTGTCAAACAATATGTATATTAGAAGTTGAGCTGTGAGACAATTGGATGCCTATGGCAATGGTTGTCATGCAAGGATGAAAAATATATATATTTAATCATATTATCTTGCTAAAGCAATAAACATGAAATATCCAGAACTTAAACATGAAATATCCAGAACTTAAGCATGAAATCCCAAATTAAACATTCGTCCTAACTTTAGGGAAAAATAAATAAAAGATTACTAAAGTTCATATCATACTAAACCCCCTAATGCTTAGTTGCCATCCATAAACATTTTAATGAAATCTGCCTTGTGAGAGTCATCCAGGTACATCAAATACCCGTCATATCAGTATCTTTGACTAACTTCATTGTAATTTTCAGCACCTGATCATATGAGAGACCTATGGCCTCAAGCTAAGATGGTAACTTGGCTTTCGCTTCTCTGAAAACCCTGACATATTGTTTCACTAGAAGCTAACAAAAATTCTGCAAAAATCAAGGTCATTAAAAATTAATGCAAACAAAGAGATGCTGCAATGAAAACCCTCACATATTGTTTCTTATCTAGCCCAATACATTACTCGACTAACATAGGAGGTTAAGTTATACAGCAATATAACATACATGCCACTAACATGAAAATACATGAGATGATAAACAAAGGTATCATTACCAAAAAGTAGCAATTACAGTAGAATTAATAGTCAAAGGTAAGATATGCAAACAGGGAAGCGAGGAAATTCATAGATGCAAAATAGTGCTAACACTCACTCACAGGTTTGACATATAGTGCTAGCATGCCTAGATTGAGAAATAGAAACGAATACAGCAAGAGCTTAAACCAAGTAAACTTTCACTGTAACTTGAGGAAACCCCTTGAACATTGAACACACAAGGACTAAACATCAACTCTAGAGACCCTCTAGTACAGAAAGAAAATCGAGACAATTCAGCTTTTCACAAACGTACAACCAAAACTGGCAAAGAGTCCCAAGGCCATTGCTTTCCTCCACTCACAACATGAGCAAACCAGTTTTTGGCAATACTCAAAGCTCAAACCCGTCCCAGTTACGGCTAATACCCTAGATTCACCATTCAATTTCAACAACTCTTTTTTTCACTTTTAATCAATAAATGTTCCCAAACAAGTAATAACTTTTTTCTTATCATCCAACTTCTACTCTATAGTTTACCAGTGGCAGTATTTTCAACACAAATCAAATATTAAAGCTACACATTACAATTACCTAAACAAGATGTCTTCCTAGGCCGTTATTTTAGCATTCCAATAGACAAAAATACAAAAAATTATCCAAGGGAAGAAGAGCATATAATGACAAAGAGAGGAAAATCCAACAGATGCAAAACAGATGCAGTTCAGTCTTGAAATCTTGAAAGATGCATTTGTCTGTGTCCATATTCAAGAACAAAGCTCCAAACTAAGAATGAAATCAAAACTCCCAATGTCAAACAGCCCCATGAACCAACAGAGGAAAATCCAACAGAGAACCAAACTAAGAATGAAATCAAAATTGCTTCCAAAAAAATAAAAAAAGAATGAAATCAAAATTGCGGCATCAAACAGCCCCATGAACCAACAGAGGAAAATCCAATAGAGAACCCAATCCAACAGAGAAAAATCCAAAACAGGTAACCCAATCCAATCCAACAGAACCCAAAGACATCAGATTTATAGATTTCAGCACAAAAAAATCGAAACTTGAACACTGAAAAAATGAATCCAGATAGAGAGATACCTCTTAATGCAGTACTGCTCAATAGGGGGAGTGAAAGCATATAAACAGAGGCGGATCTTTGGTTGCAGATGCAGTATTGGGCAGATCGAAGCACTACAAAATACAAAGAAATCAAAACAAGCAAATCAGAAAAGAATACAAAGAAATTAAAGCACTACAAAATACAAAGAAATTCAGCAGAATTAGGAACTGGGTGTTAATGAAATCGAAACAAACAAATCAGAAAATAATAATAATGCAACTTCAAAATTAATTAAAGATAAGATTGAGTCAGTCAGTCCATGTGGTTTCCGACTGCGACCCTCCAAAAAATAGTATGAGGACTGAAAACTATGGAACAAATCAAAAATTTGAAATTGAAATTAACCCAATTCGATTCGAGGACTGCAAAGCAAAACCCAAAAAGGGGATTCATAGAAAAGGCACCGATGATTTGGAATTGCCGGGCATACGACTGACACCCAGCAAACACCAAACCAAGAGAGAAACAGAAAGTACTACAAAATACAAAGAAAGAGAGACCGAGAGGCTACACAATCAAAATCAGATCGAACCTGGAACGGAGATGCAGAGCTGAAAGTTCACGGAGAGGCTACACGAAAGAGGATGAGGAGGAAGGTTGCGAAGGGGAGATGCAGGAGGATGAACAAGTTCACAGCGGCAAAGAGAAGAGAAAGATGGTTAGGGTTTGTTGTATGATTTAGAAGGTGTAAATATTGAAAAAGCTAAGGGGTATTTTTATCTTAAATTTTATGATTTTTGTGTTCCACGGGATGGAAAAACCCGTTCCCGGGGGGGAGGGGGAACCAAAATTTAGCCAATTTTCATTCTGTGGGACACATGTTCCACATAATTTTAGCGCACTAAACGTGGGACGGAACGCTCTGTTCCGTTCCATCCCGCATACCAAACGCACCCTATATGTACATGCTCACCTTCCTATAGTAAGACGCGTTTTGGGTGGAAACCCAAGAACAAATCCGTGAGGGCATGGCCCAAAGCGAACAATATCTTACTATGCAGAATGGGATGTGACACAATGTAAGTCCTTCATGAACTTTAATATAGATTTTTGTATCAAGATCACCATAGAGATACGTAATTATCATGCCAATTAGCTGCATTTAGTTTTTCAGAAACTATCAAACTGACAAGGTAGTGGAACGTTATAACGTCCCTCTAGAGTAGCACTGCACACACCGCTTGATGTGGGTTAGCTCGGCATGGCTCAGCTTCAGGCTATGCCTGGTGTGGCTTGGCGTGATTAGCGCGGATTCAGGTGGCGGCTCAATCGTAGTTTTTTTTTCTTTATTTTTCTCTCGGTAAGGCTCCAGTTCACAGCGGCTCTTGATTAAGGGTTTCAAATCCTTAGTTTTTGCTTCTATTTTCTTGTTTTTCTTTGTACTCACACAGTTCAACATAGCAATATCTAATAGTATAGTAAAACATAATATTGCGTATGAAAAATCAACATAATAATATTGTGCATGCATGAAAAAAATATCTATTCAGCGGCATATGTATAAGGCAATTTATAAAGACTAGATAAATTTGGGGTTTCATGCATCAAAGTAAATGTTTTCATGCTATCAGAGCTTATAAAATATCGATCATGTGTTTTAGAAGAACCTGGATATGATGGGAACAACGAAAGCCTTTGAAAGTTAGTTGTAGAAGGACCTCCTCCAAGAACCTTCAGTTCCTTAGCGTAGTAACGGGAATTTGCTGATAACGTGTTGTAGCCTTGTAGGCTTATTTTACTTGGGGATTATAGATAGGGGAGGGGCCAACGGCTAACAAAGGGAAGAGAGAATTTGGTAATGATTTCTCACCCCACTGTGTCTTTATTTATAGTGGGAAGGGAGAATTATTGACTTTCAAGTAATACATTACAACTAGAAAACTATCTAAATTAAAGGATATTATAAAGGGAATTGTTATTGGCACTCCAAAAATCTCATTTTACACTCCAAACTTTATATATTTGGAAAGAAAATACATTTGTGAGGAGTGTAGAATGAGATTTTTGGAGTGCCAATAATGTGGAGCCAAAAATATTCACTAGGCGACACGTGAATTTTTGGACAAAAGAGGACAAAAATACCCTCGAGGCATACCGGGTTTCCTACACGCGAGCAGTAGAGAATCATTTTTTCAACCAAGTCAAAAGTGCCCAAAATTGGTATCAACTTAAAACCTAATTTATTCATATATTTCCCATTTCATTATTTAGCTAATCAATTAGCTAAATAATATACTTATTCCTTTCATATTTCATAAAATCATAATAATTGACTAATTAAGGGATTAATTACCTAATCAATCCCTTAATTGTCAATTTGAAACATCCACTCAAACCTAAAAAACACAAGAGGGCCGGCTATCCCATTGAAAAACCTAATCCATTACCTTTTTTCTACCTTTTCCCACCATTTCTTCCTTTTTATTAGCCAATTATACAAAAAACCTCCAAAACATTCATTTTATGTTTAATAGCCAAATAAATTGGCTAATTAAACCTAAAAACCCTAGCCACCTCCTATCCCTATAAATATACTCCCATTCTCACCAAAAAACTAATTCCAACACTTTGGCAAAAATTCCAAAATTCTCTAAACACTCTTTCTCTCTAAATTCTAACTTTGGCATCGGAGGTTCTTCGGCCAAAGCCCCCCCCATTCATCGTGGGCGCGTGAGGCTCTTGGCCTTAACCTAAGGTGTTAATTGTTTTGTAGGTGCAAAATCGTCCAAGATCGAGGAGGAAGAAATTTGCATCCACAAATAACACTTCCCATTATAAAATACAACAATTTGTACAAGCACTTTCCTAACTAATTTAGTACTGCAACAAAAAAAATGTTTCTATAACAATTCTTGTCACAAGAGCTTACAAGAACAGAAGAACTCAAGAGTGAGCAGGACATTATTTTTCTGGTAAAGTATCCTTTACTTTGATGAATTTACCTGAGTTATTGGTTCCTAATTAACACCACTTCTCTAAATCATATTACATAATTATATTGGTTCAACTCCAACACTAGGACACAACATGTATAATATTAAAGTAACACTAACTTCTACATGGCAGTTGACACTTCTCGAAGCTTTAGTCACCTGATTTCTTCAACACGACGGGATGGAGGATTCTTCTCCCTTTGGGCATGTTATTTCTGATATCCGAATGGTGGTAAGGTGGTTTACCTAATGGACAGTTTCTTTTGGATGACGTACGTCGAATAAGGTGGCACATAGGTTGGCGAGGCTGGGACTCACTCTTGATACTACAATTACTTGGTTTGAAGAACTTTTGATGTCATTTATGATATTCTCATCGAGGATAGTAATACTTTGTAATCTTTTATGGTGTAGGATGCTCTTTTTTCTTTAGACCGGGTTGAAATCCTCGACAAGGTTTTTATCGAGGCCCATTGTATGCACCTTATCCTTGATGATTATATGTATATATTCTATTACCTTATCAATGAATATCGAACTATTTAAAAATAATAATAAAAATAAAAACTTCTACATGGCAATTGACACTTCTCGAAGCTTTAGTCACCTGACTTCTTCAATTCCGCCGGTTGCCTCTTCATTTATATTTCCACTAAAGGATAACTAAGTAAAGATTTATATAGTAAATAATGAGCGTGGTCGTTGGATTAAGTCAACATATGAAATGAGAAATATTACTATTTTACCCATTTGTTCTCTCTCAAGGGTCTTGTGTGTTTTTGGTGGCGAACGATTTCAAAATTTGGAGGCGGTTTTTCTTCTTCTAGAGACTTAACTCGTATCTGGTAACCAACTATAACGGTGAATGAGGTTGGTTGGCGGTGAGCCTCAAGCAGACCAACATATCTATGTGCAATATTGCATGGCCCCAGGAAGATACTGGCAAATTGGTTTACATAACCAAAGTTCGAGCTTTCGTTTAAAGGCGCTTTATGAAAGGTTCTACCAAGCCGTTTTGGGTGTGAACATGGGGTACAAGATGTTCAACTTCAATCCCAACAGACATGCAATAATCGTCAAAAGTCTGTGATGTAAACTCTCCAGTATTATCCAATCAAATCGACTTGATCAGATAATCAGGGTGGTGAGCCCTAAGCTTAATAATTTGTGCTAGGATTTTCACAAATGCAGCATTGCATGTAGACAATAAGCAGACATGTGACCATCACGTCGATGCATCAACCAACACCATGCAGTATCTAAATGGTCCGCATGTTGGTTGGATAAGTCCACAAATATCCCCTTGAATCCTCTGAAGAAACTTAGGGGGGTCGTGAATAATCTTTGTAAGTAAGGGTTAAATATTCAACTTCCCCAAGTAGGCATGCTTTGCAAAATGGATGGCTGGGATAAGATTTCAAGTGATGCCCATGTTATTCTTTGAGGATACGGCGCATCATATCTCGTCTAGGGTGTCCCATTCGATCACACCAAAGCAAGAGAGTTTTCTGGAACTTGACCATAGGGCCGGCCACATGATGGGTCTCAATGGCATGAATGGTTGTTATGTCCGACCCACTCGGGAGACGTTCCAGCTTATCGTGAATACACTTCTAGCCATATTCGTAAGAAGTGATACAAAGAAATTTAGAATCATTCTCTTCACTGGTTTCAACATGATATTGATTATCTATAATATCTCTAAAACTTATCAACGTTCTTTCGGAACGTGGAGAATAGAGTGCCTCTTTAATTGATTAATTCAGTACCATTGGACAACATAATACGAGCTTTTCCTGTTGGAAATGTGCCCTAAAACCAATCATATGATGATACTTTACGGACATTTCACATGTTAAACTAATCTAGTTTAATATCAAGGGCAAAGATTATTGTTTGAGTCGTCTCATATAAATGTTATACGCTTAAACGATAAGTCCAAGGAATATGTGATTGGGAGAATGCGATCTAAAGAAGTTAGATTCATGAGACCATTCTTTCGTAGACACATCCTAAACGTTCCTGATCATAAGATTGCCAATTGGGCACTGACAGTCGGTTAAGATCAGTACGTACTGTGTCTTCTCTCAAAGAGAGTGACTAGTCTCGAGTCATTGGTGTGACTGACACCAAGACAAGTACGTGGGTGCTCAATAGAGAATGAGTTCACTGAACACGATCAACGAAGAGTTCTCATACTCATGTCACATGAGAACTCATAGTTGGGATAATGCAAAGTAGTCCTTTGACCTGAGGCATCATAGTTGTCTTGTGGTTAGGTCCTTGATCTTTGATTATGTCAAAGTCACCCCATCCGCGGGTGTCCACGGCATCGTTGGGGTTAAGCCACTTAGCCATGGAGGCAAATGAATGCGCAACAAGGGATCTCTAACCTTCAAACCGTTTGAGGGAGAATACTCTATGATATGATTAAGAATCTTTGGCCAAAGTATGAATGAGATTTAGGAAGTCGTTCCAAATCACATTCAAGGTAATCATATAAGTACATGAATCACATTGGATAGTAGACATGAATAAACTATCAAACCAAACAATGTGGTCAAGAGTATTGTATTAGAGAAAGACCGTATTGCATTGTAATCCTAAACTGAATAGGTTCTCCACCTCTTCTGATTAGCTTGGGTAACCATGATATGCTGCTAGGTGTCACTCTTGGTTTGTGGAAGCCCTAAACGTGTATAAACACTAAAGGGAGAATTGAAAGTAAGTTTCAATTCACAATCGATTTGAA